TAAAGACCGCCCAGAGGGTAAATACCCAGTCCAATCTCAACAGTAGTGTAGTTGCCAAAAAATAAAAAAACCTTTATTGAAATCTATTAAAAAACCTGGGTAATCAGTGATGGACAGAATAATATAGGGAGAAATATGTATGGTAGGAACAAGGCTAAACAAGAGCCAACCCTCACAAGAAACGGAGAGGGGATAGAAGGCAATATGTACCCCCATACATAACTCAGGTAACAAAGCAGTAGGAAAGAACAGGGAAAGGGAGAAACACACACTCCCAACCAAACAGTAGTGCTATGCTAATACCCTATCTCCTATAAAACACCTTTGTGGGTGTTCTAATCTAAATGCTGTCATAACATCTGAAGCCCCAGGTTACACACACATACTAGAAAAACATAAATGAAAAGGTGCTCAGAGCAAAGTGCTCAAGAGAGTATTAAAAACACAGAAGAACCCGACGTACGTTTCTTCCTTTTTTCTACAATTTCCAGGGTTACCCCCTTTTACCAGTCCAGGTGACCTCTATACTCTGGAGGCTCGGCAGTGCGATACGGGAGTGTCTTTTCCTCCCCTCCCACTTTCCAGCCTTTTGAGTTTCCTTTTTCTTGCCCACTATTTCAATTCTCTTAGATCTTAGAGATCGTTATCATGTAAGTGAAATGTATTCCATACAAATAAAATCACAATTTGTTATAAAAATAGATATAATTTATTGTGACAAATTAAATAACAATATTAGGCAGCATGCATGATATTAATCAGTGAATATTTAGTATAACATAAGTAAACAATGCAATGGCTAAACACGTTCCAATGGCTAACAGCATCAACTGTCAAGACAAGATTAATGGGAATTTCTCAGTACAAAGAAAGCAAACTTCACACAGCCCAGCCATGAAACCTTGGCTAACAGTTAAATCAACCGAGTAACCCTTTCAATTCTGGCTAGATCCTCCTAGGCATATAATATCCTATTCTCATGTAATTTTCAATTAAAATAACATTCAAACCAGCTCATTAATCCTTTCCTGGAACAATCCAATAAGAATAATCTACCAGATGCTATAAACCGAATTTTAATTTGGCTAAAAAAATATATCTTATCTTATTTAGAGCAAATTAATACACCTGGATAAAAACAGCGGTATGCTAACATGTAATAATATCACATTAATATATAATTATTCTTAATTCCACCTGCAGAATGGAATGTTTATAACTATATATTCTTTAGTTAACTAAGATTTCTAAATATTGAAATCTGACCGTGATTTATCCAGTCATATATCATGCTATTAGATTTTAATTAATTTAGATTAATTAAATTAAACCAGCATAATTACCAGTTATGTAGGTGTTCTCATCAGATGAGTAGGTAGTCCCAGGAAAATGCGAGTATGATTGGTTGTATGGAGGTGCGTGAGTAATACCGTGTTTCCCCGAAAATAAACCCTACCCCGAAAATAAGCCCTAGTCGGATTTTCAGGGTGGGCTGCAATATAAGCCCTACCCCGAAAATAAGACCTAGGCATTGTACCTTTGCGGCAAGACTTCCTTCTTCTACTGTAGGAGGAGCGTTGTGAGCCGCGTCATCGCGCAACGTGATGACGACATTTCGCAGCGCCGTCAGTCTGCCTTCACGGATCTTCAGCGGAAGGATCCATTTCCGGGCGGTGAGGCTCCCAGTGGTCGGACTCGGCAAGGAATCTTTGAAATGTGAGTACCGCTAGATATTTTATGTCTGGGACTGAATTAATTAAAGGGGGCGGGGGGTGAATTAATTAAAGGGGGGGTGAATTAATTAAAGGGTGGGCTGGATTAATTAGAGGGGGTGAATTAATTAAAGGGGGTGAATTAATTAAAGGGGGGTGAATTAATTAAAGGGTGGACTGGATTAATTAGAG